GATCAAAATTGTTAACTAAGCTTTTAATAACATAACAATTTTAAGTCATTTTCATGCAAAAATGTCAAATATTGGCTCTACTAAACCAGATTAAACATTTGCAAAACTAATGACATTTCCATCAGCCATGTTAAGATGGTGAACCTAGTAAACATTTAAGGCCAAACATGAGTGTTATTGTGCACATGATAACTCTAACCACAGCTGTAAAGCCTCACAGGAGCACCCATCTCTGTCGCTGACAGCATCCCATACAGTGTCTGAGATTAGTACTGAAATCTTGATAACCTGGGTCTATATGTCTCAAACCTCTACTAATAACATGACAGAATTGTCTAAAGTATTCCAGCTTAAAAGTAACAAAGTTCTTAGCTGAGTGTGAGCGCTACGACATGCTTATTACACACATTTACTCCTACTTACAGCCAAGTGTAAAAGTCACTTTGAACATCAACTCTCAAGAGATCACATGTCGGCTCAGAGAGGGAATACCCAGTCAGAGATACAGAGTGACCTTACAGATGGTTGGCAAATTAAAGGAAAACTCTGGTGGGAGTACTCTCCTCCAGGATGACAGTGCCCTATCCACACGGCACGAGGGGTCAACGAATGGTTTGATGAGTATGAAAATGATGTGAATCATATTCTGTGGCCTTCCCAGTCACCAGCTCTGAGCCTAATTGAACACCTATGGGAGATGTTGGAGCGATGTGTTAAACGGCGTTTCCACCACCGTCAAAACACCACAAGAAGGAATATCTGTGTTCATCCTCCAGTAGAGTTCAGACACTTGGAGAGTTGAGATGCACTGGAGCTGTTCTGGTGCCATGTGGCGGCCCAGCACCTCACTGAGATTCTGTGTTGGTTTGTCCTATTATTTGTTCATCTGCTGTACTGTACCCTCTTTTAAAAATTCCTGCTTAATTAAGCCACATAACATTAGTTTGTTCAAATCAAGCAAACTTTAGCTTTGTCAGCCTCAGCGACAGTGGAAAACAATTAAATGTCTAGTTTGTGACAGTATTCAATGGGACACAACAGTATATGTCCAAAAAAACCATGTATGTCTTTATTTATGTTCAAACCAACATGCTGGCAGTGTGTCAGGTTTGCCCGGCTGCACCTACTTTCTCACTCCCCTCTCTCTGTTTTCACTCCCTTACCCTGCTCACGTTTTCCTTCACACCTGTTTCTTACCCCCAGATTACCACCAGCTGCACCTGATTAGTTTCTCCCTATTTAGTCCCTGCTCTTCGTTCACTCCCCTGCCAGTTCTTTCCAGCATTTATCAGGCCCGTTTGTTACCCGTCTTTCATTTGATTCTGTGTTAGTTTGGTCTTGCCTCCTTCTCTCCAGCTGCTTGGATTTATCCCTCCTCACCTTAGTCGCTCCTTCGGACCACGAACCTCCTACGCTCTTCTCCACCTCAACCTGCAGGTCGATGCACAGTTTACTACTTACCGTATGTTTACATTTTTGTTATCTTCAGTACCATCCTACCCGACCAGCCCAGGAGTGTATCCCAGTGTCCGCAGCCCGGTCATCTTCACATCATATCCATCACTGACTGTGTACACCTCCGAAGCTCGACACCCGGTCCCTACATTACTCCACTGTTCATTTCTTGTCACTTATTATCACTGTAAATAAACCACTGTCTGCACCGAAGTCAGCCACCTGGGTCCGTCTAATTTTTGTGACTCACTCGCTTCTGTGTTGGAGTCACCTTAACACCTGAGGAGAAAGATTGGAAAACAGAAATGGTTAAAGCAGTGAGAGAAGCAGTTGCAGCTCAGTTGAACCCTACTTCACTCCATCCTTCCCAAAATGGACCTTATATTCCTAATCAACAACCACAGGAGGTGCAATGCAATAGTAGTAGAGGAAGAGGAGGACCGAGAACAGGGTGGCGTACGGCTTGTTATGCTTGTGAACAACACGGCCATTGGGCTTCAGCTTGTCCCACCTTTGGAGGATTCCAGAGACAGCCGCAAGTTCAGTTCCAGAGGAGAGGCAGAGGCAGC